CCACCTTATAGGTGCCCTCCTTCTTCTTCAGCTCACACCGGCGATCCTCGAGGCCGCGGATGAGCTCGTGTATCTCATCGTCCTTGGAATTGATGACACGCAGGTACTTCTCCAGAAGCTGGTCAACGTGAGCTATCACCTCTCTCTCTCTCTATCGATATCAGTCCCCCGCATTACGTATCCATGCACGTGTGTGTGTGAGAGAGAGAGGTAGCCCATGCATGCCACAGTGGAACAAACCCGCGACACCCAATAAAAGAAAAGAAGCAGAACGCGGCAAAAAAAAAAAAAAAGAAATTGTTCTACAGAAAAGAACGGTAGCGGGCGGCAAAGACAAAAGAGTCGGTGAGCCCTCACTGGCAGAAGTCGCTGCAACCAATCGCCAAAGCGCGGGGCATGGCGAGGCAAAAAGTGAAGTGAAAAACAAAAAAAAATCATTTAAAAATACGACGCTTCCGGAAGTGTGCGCAGCTAAAACACTAAACACCCACCCACCCACAGAAAAAAAGAAAAAAAAGATAAAAAGGGGAGTACTCGTGTCTCCAACTTCAGGAAACTTCTCTCCTCTACCTATTTATGCAAACCAAGACGTTTTGTTTTAAATACCTTTACCAGCTCGTATTACAACCTCACTTCAGTACGCCGCAAAAAGCTGCACACCTCCGAGCCTACATGTTGAGCTCCTTCTTGATCACCTTGAATGCATCAACGGCACGCATCACATCCTCGGTGCTGTGCGCCGCGGAAAGCTGCACGCGGATGCGAGCCTGGCCCTTTGGCACGACCGGGTAGCTGAAGGCAATGACGTAAATGCCTTGCGACATCATCCGGGAGGCAAACTCACCGGCGATGCGGGCATCGTATAGCATCACAGGGACGATAGGGCACTCCTCGTGTCCACTGAGAGTTAGGCCAGCCTTCTTCATCTCGGTGCGGAAGAGCCGCGTGTTCTCTTGCAGCCTCTTCTGCGCAGAGGATGAGCGTTGCAGAAGCTCCATTACCTTCAGCGAACCGCCAACCGCAGCGGGGGCAATCGTGTTGGAGAACAGGTACGGACGACCCTTCTGGCGCTGGAGCTCAACAATTTCTTTGGAACCCGACGACAGGCCACCGCTGGCGCCACCAAGTGCCTTTCCCAGGGTCGTGTTAACGATGTCAATCTTGTCCACGACACCAAACAGCGTCGGCGTGCCGCGGCCACCCTCCCCCATGAACCCTGTGGCGTGGGAGTCGTCGACCATGATGTTTGCATTATACTTCTCGGCAAGGGTCACAATCTTGTCCAGCGGCGCAACGTCACCGTCCATGGAGAAGACGCCATCGGTCACAATAAGGCGAATGCGCTTACCCTGCGTCTTCTGAAGGGCGGTTTCAAGCTCCGCCATGTTCATGTGGGCGTAGCGGTGCCTTTCCGCTTTGCACAGACGCACGCCATCAATGATGCTTGCATGGTTTAGTGCGTCCGAAATGATGGCGTCCTCCTCATTTAACAGAGCCTCAAAGACACCGGCGTTGGCGTCAAAGCAGCTCGGGTAGAGAATGGTGTCCTCGGTGCCAAGAAACTTCGTCATGGTGTCCTCCAACTGCTTGTGAATGTCGGTGGTGCCGCAGATGAAGCGCACTGATGCCAGACCGTAGCCGTGCGTGTCGAGCGCCGCCTTTGCCGCCTCCACCACCTCGGGGCTCCCGGCGAGGCCAAGGTAGTTGTTGGCACAGAAGTTCAGAACGGGCTTGTCGCTGGCCTGGACGTTGATCATGGCCGACTGCCTCGAGGTGATGATGCGCTCGCTCTTGTACGTGCCTGCCTCCTTTGTGGCGGCAATCTGTGCCGCCGCGACCTTCCGCAGGGCGGGGTTGCCCAACTTGGAAATCGTACGAAACATATTCTCGCTGTTGATAGGAAATGCCGTGACCTGACTGTGCCGTGAGTAGCGCAATACGTGCAAGAGAAGAGACGGACGGGGCAGCACAACACGCACGCAAGAAAGGAAAGAAAGGGAAACAGGAAAAAGAAAAAAAAACAGTGAAATGGGGAAGTAAAGAGAGACAGAGCGCCACAGGCACCACAATGCGGGGTAACAAGCGCACACGCCGCGGCCACGCTCCTCAAGCACAAGGGAAAAATAGGGCGACCGCAAGCAACACAACTCAACGTCATGCCGTTTTTCCGCTTCGGCGCCTCCACCTCCCCGGCCCTCCCTGCCATTGGTTTTCGTCCGCTCGCTACACCGTTATCGTATGGAACATGTGGACCACACGGTGAGGGAGGGTATGAAATAAACTCTCGCGACTAGTCCCCAACATCAGCACAAAAAGTCCTCGAGAACCCTCCCGCAAAATGCGATCACCCCGCAGCGTGTTGTCCTCCAGCAGCTCTTTCAGCGCGTTCGCCACACCACGCACGACCGACACATCCTCAACCAACCAAACAACACACCTGGCGCCGGCGGCGTCCTTCCGCAGCCGCCTGGAAAGCGAGGGGACGTCCTCAAAGGCACCTGTCAGTCGGTAAACCGTTGCGCACCCCGAGAGGGTCGCAAGCTGTTCCCTCACCGCAGACGTATTCACGCTGTGCAAATGAACGCCCGTCAGGCCTAGGCGCCTACCTGCAAGTGCGGACACGAGCGGCCCGCCGCCCGCCGCACTGCAGCGACATGGGAAGTCGTAATCGGCATGCATATTGAAGTGGAGATGGAGAAAGGCAACCAAAAGGGCACAAAGCATGCCCAAGATACGACACGGCCACTTGTACCTCGACGCTGTTTCCCCCTTCTTCGTCCTCGTTTTCCTAGCCTGCCTCTCCGGTGCTGCACCCACTGTCACCCTAGCCTCTACAACGCCATTACCACTCATTGCGGCCTCATTGGACAAATGAATATCAGCCGAGCTGTTGAGTGAATCGCCGCGTTCTGGCCGTGCTCGGGAGTTAGTTCTGCGGCCCTTGCTCCGTGGCATGCCTACCTACGTGCTGCAGTGAGGGAAAAGCGACAACGCAATGAGGCGGCTGCCAGCAAGCGGCAAAACAGCGACGGAGATAGTGGGGAAGAGAAGGGGGGACAACACACCACACAGCGCCCTTTCTTTTATTTTCCCTTCTTTTCTTTTTGTTCGTCTACTCGTCACTGCTCTCGCGCCACTTTCCTTCTCTCTCGCCTTGTGAATGCCACGTCGCAGCCTCGTTTACGAAGACGATCCCGGAAGACGGGGGTGCGAGTCGCACGCGCCACTGGAACCGACTAGCCGGTTGAACTCGTCCCTCCAACTGCGCCGAACGCACAACGTCCTGAAGGCGACAAGCCCCCTCTCCGATAGTTCCCATTGCTCCCCTCTCATGCGCCTCACACACTCCAGCGCAAACTCCCCGTCATCCGCCTCATTCGCAGCTTGCACATCGTGTTGGTTTTCCTTGTTAGTGGCGCCTTCTCCAGCCGCCGCTGCGCACTCACCACATCCACCTTATAGGTGTCCTCCTTCTTCTTCAGCTCACACCGGCGATCCTCGAGGCCGCGGATGAGCTCGTGTATCTCATCGTCCTTGGAATTGATGACACGCAGGTACTTCTCCAGAAGCTGGTCAACGTGAGCTATCACCTCTCTCTCTCTCTATCGATATCACGTCCCCCGCATTACGTATCCATGCACGTGTGTGTGTGAGAGAGAGAGGTAGCCCATGCATGCCACAGTAGGAACCAAACCCGCGACCAACCCAAATAAAAAGAAAAGAAGACAAGAACGACGG